AATAAGTTACATTAATGATAAACTTAGTATAATCATTTTGAAATTTTTTCTTCAAGAACATCTTAAAAGACTGTTCTTTGTTTATTTGATCTCCACCACTCAATTGCATATTTTAAAACTTAAAAACACTTTATGTTTTTTAAAACAGAAAATTTTATTTATTTATTAATTTTTTTCCTTATTTTTTGCATAGATTTAGTTCATTACTATTGTACAAAACTTTGACACTATCTAAATAAGAGTGTGGGAAGCTATTTGATCTTTCAACTATGATTCAACAGTATTAAAGGATTTTTTTTTTTCAGCAAGCGAAATAATAAGTTTAGCTTGTTTTGCTTGATTATTGTTTATAAATCTTGGATAAAAAATAAGGGATGGATAAAATTTTTATAATGTTTTGAAACGTTTACCAAGTGGGCACAGAGCATAAATAAGACGTCTTTTGAACGTTCAAAAGACATCAAAAATGTTCAAAAGACATTCAAAAGATGTCCGAAACGTTTAAATAACGTTTAAAATACGTCTTTTTTACGTTTTTTACGCCCACTGGGTAGTAGTGACTTTAGTGCGTTTCTTCCAACTACATCAAGCTTTTTCATTAATACTTCTTTATATTCACAATGCTCAAGTCCTTATAGTTTTATACAATTGGAAAAAAGAGCTTGGATGAGCAAAATGATTTCCAGATTAAACAACCCTAGTAGTAGATTGTAACACAAAATACGCATAAAAACGGAATACCTATAACTATTTTTTAATTTTTAATTTAATGATTAAAAACATTTTCATCGTTTGATGATAACAAATGGTCATAAATTATACATACTGCTAAAAATAGCTATTCACTATTTACACTGCCACCGGCAATCAGGGTCACTAAGAGGAGGGGGTGAGGCAAAAGCGACAGTTTGTCCCAGGCGGCAGATATCCAAGGAGCACCAAATGAAAAGAAGGTACCTAAAAAAAAAAGGTTTTGCATCTATAATGTATGGAAACTTTGATAAATAAACGCGCAAATCAGGGTTGCTGTCCCAGGCAGCGTGACGGCTTTCAGCAGCCATACCGGCAATTAATTAGAAAATTTTAGCAAGTCTGTTAAGATAACGTTTTACGTTACCACAACCTAAAAGGGTTTATTGTCAATTTAGACGAACAGTTTCATGTAAAAACTTATTTCACTTGAAATTGGAATTTTCTTTTCCGTATCCTCTTAGGTATTTAATAAAGGTTTATTAATTTTCTGAATTTTTTTTTTAAGGAAAATATAGATTGTACACATGTACTAACAGAAAACAAAGTGTCAAAAGACTTTTTTAAAAATATAAATATTTATCTATTGAATTAGAAACAAAAAAATAATTATTGTATACTTTAATAATATACAAAACATAATAGAAAAAATGTTAGAAATATTTTTCTACCGTACATTTTTGAAACATGCCTTTTAAAAGGCATGTCACAAAATTGGAAGGACACATAGTTTAACTATGACTTTACCTTCTTTTTACCTGTGTGACACAAATATAATTAACAATTAATTAGCATTATTTAGAATGTTCTCAACTCATTTAAAAAAAATTAGCCTTTAAAAATAGTCTCTGATATATATGGAATGGATATAAAAATGTTATTGTTTAGCAATTTTTTCCTAATGAAAATAAATACTTTAAAAACACTTTTTTCAAATGTTTGGTCTTTTTATTAGAATTAAATGATTTTCTTTTATAGGTTTGTGTATTATATTAAATTTATTATTACTTATATAAAAAAGTTGCTTTATTTTTAGTAAGTAAATGGATTGAGCTGTCCTGAGCCGCCCTCCAAACATGTGTCTGATACCACCCGATTATACCTTATTCACAAATACTTGTTTTAAAACCAGTGAATTAAATTATTAAACGCATTTTTTTTAATAAATATTGTAAATAAAAATGTATATTTAATCAATATAAAGTCGTCCATTTGAACTTTTTTTTTGAAATAACCTGGATTTAAACATAAAACCATTAGCTCCAAAGCGATAGCAGACAGTAATGTTTTCTTTAGACCTTATTATTTAATAGCGTGTTCCAGAGATTAGGACCTCTGTTTGCAATTGAAAACTTAGTAACAGAGTAATAGGTTTTAGGTTGAATATAATTGTTTTCTGAAAATCGTGTTGAGTATAGATGATTTTTTTTTTCCAAAAATGAGTTAAATAAAATAGATGTTATTTTTTTTTTATTAACTTTCAATATAAAAATATGAATTTAATGAAGATTTAAATGAAATACGTTAAGAATATTAAATTTAATGAATAGAGGTTTAGCGTGTGAGAAACGATCCACATTTCCAATAATTCCTTAAGTATGCTTTTGTTTAATTAATAATTTATTTATTTTAGTTACGTTGTTACACCAAGCTGTAAATCAAGTGTCTGGAGTTACCGACCGTCCGGGGCTACCCGACTTACTTCTAATATTAGTGATTGATAAGAATAAAAACTTTCAGTTCAACAATC